ATGCTGTCTGCTTCTCAATCTGGAGTAGGAACTAACCCGGAGCGCAGCAGCCGAGAGCCAGCCTGAACCAGTTGCGTGTGGGCCTCGGGTACCACAAGCGATTTCCCTGGGCGGGTTAGCTGGCACCCGTGGGCCCAGGCGTACCTGGGTCGGCCTTTCCGTCTGTCTGCGTGTCTATCTGGTGTTTTGTTAGGTCCCCACCCTGCCCTTCCCTCGCTGCTCCGCATTCGCTCCGCTTTCCGTTCGCCTTTCCCTCCTTCAGCCCCACTGAGACCCTGACTGGAGTCGGAACCGCTCCCTGCCCACCCGCTTGGGCCTCGGGGGATGAGATGGGAGCGAAGCCACCGGCCGGTGGGAAGGTAGCCGCTCGCGTTCCTTTCTCTCTAGGACGACATGACTCGAACCTGTCTCTTGTTGAATGTCAGAGTAATAGGAAGTGCCAGTGACAAGACGACGTATTACTCCTGATTAACTGGCGTGTCAGCCTAATTAGCAGAGTAATTATAAGGTGCTAATGAATGATTCAAAGTTCGGCAAGTTGCTTGTTACTCCGAATTGCCTTCCTTTTCTTTTTCTTTTTTTTTTTAAAGACCCAACCAATCCGGGGAAAACTGGCTGTTAAGCCAAAGGGAAATCTCACACAAACACACACACACAAAGCGAGAGAGAGTGTGTGTCAGTCCACCTCTCTCTCGCTCACTCGCTCTGGTTCTTCCGCGGCAAATTCAGGAGCGAGAAGCTTTCTCAGCCATCCTGGTGTTTGTAAGAAGGAAGCATATAACAGGTTTGGTCTGCCTAGGCTCTCTCTCCTGGGCGTTTGGAAAAAGAAACACAAAGCCGGCCGGCACAATTTACACGGGGCGTGGGGAGGGGGAGGGGACGAAAACTGGGAGATAGTCCCGTCTTTAGAGAGAAGGGGAGCCGAAAGATGGCAAAAAGGAAAAATAAAACAAAACAGCTCTGGTTAAATCGTTAAGGATTTAGGGATGATGGTGTAGCAGGCAGTGACTTCAAGGGGGCAGCTTGCCAGTCCACAAGGCTAACCTGAAAGACCCACCCTCCTATGGGGCGGCGGGGGGGGGGAACTAGACGAACCCGGGAAAAGGAACCAAATACCTGCGTGCGATCGCTCCCGTCGGTCGGGAGAGGTGCCCGCGGAGGGGTTGGCTCGTCTCCCGGTACCAAGGACAGATGGCTCGGGATGACCTTCCCGAGCCTCCGCCGCCTCCTTTGGGGGTCCCCATTGTTTCAAGGCTGCCCACACGCCCGGCGCCCCTTTTTCTTTCTGCGCCCCCCCCGCCCCACGACAATCTCCCGCCGGAGATCAAGCTGAGAATCGCTGGTCGTGAGGAAGGGGATCGCCGGGTGAGGCCGAAGGCAGCCGGAACGGTCGCCACCGCCTCCCCCTCGGTGTCTGGGGTTTGTAGGTAGTTGCTGTTGCTGTTTTGAAGGGAACGGAAATCGAGGGGATTTTAATAAAGACAAATCCTGCCTAAAAACTAAAGAGATTGGTTTTAAAATGAGCCTCTAAAGAGGGAGGCGAGAGGGAAGAAGGAGAAGGGGGAAAGAGAGACCCGATTGTGATCGGGCATCAGCGCATCCGGCCTCCTGTTCGTCCTGGCAGCGCTTCTGTCTCAGAAAAAGCAGCTTTTCGCTCGCCGCCTTTTTAAAAAACTGTCCACTATCGGGTATTCCTCTCCCCACTTCCCCCACCCCAGTTCCTCTTGCCTTGTCTCCCTGCCTCTCCATCCCACCTTCACAACGTCCGCATTTGCGGGGAAATCTCGTTGAGTTCAATGAGACTACGAAAACTTTGTAGATACAACATTGTGTTTATTGGGGAGGCCGCGTCAGAAGTCCGCGGTCCATTGTTTTCGGGGGTGGGGGGCTGGAATTACTACAACAGGGCTGAGAGCTCTCAGCTTCCTTCTGGATCTCTCTTTTCCCCCCAAACTACATGACTCAGGTCCGATTTGGGGTTTTTATTTGTGTGTTTGGAAGCTTAAGGAAGAAAGCGTTTGCTGGGGAAGGGCCGGCGTCCCTCTCGTCTTTTATGGCTGGAAATATTGATTAACCTTCTTTCACTCTTTCGGCCAAGATGAGCGAAATTTCTCCCTCCAGAGCAGGGAGAGGGGGGCGGCTGTTTGGAAGCCGCTTACACAGCGGTGCGTGTTCACGTTAAGAGCTGCCCACTTTCCGACGACGTGTGGAGGAGAGATCATTATTATCCGCTTGATCTTTATTAACAATGACGTCGGATTCGGGCGGATTAAAAAAAAATTTCCAAGTGGAAATTGGAATCTGAGAAGGGGAAAAAATGGAATCGCTCACAGAGTGTAATAATTTCTGATGTACGAATGAGGAGAAGATAAAGTTCGGGCGATCGTCTCGTTTCCTGGAAAGGATCGCTGTGTCCGGATTTTTTATGGGCCAGCGATGAAATCCGCTTTCAGGGGTGGTAAGGTTTCCCAATGAGATTTTGCTTGTATTATTTTAGTCGCTGGCTCCCGACCTTAAACTGCCTAATGAATCAGGAAGGACTAGGTGAAAGTGAGATTTTGAGGGATGAGGGGGAGAAGATTAATATATCCGGCGTGTTAATGATGATGATAAAGTCGGGAGCGCGGATCAGGCTGGCAAACTTGGCTTCCAAAATCTAAGCTTCAAGGCTGTGAATTTGTGCGAGCGTGTATTGTGTCATAATTATGTCAGTCAAGCCGGGTCTGTCTCTCACATACGCACGCACGCGCGCGCACACATACATTGCCCTAGACTTCAGAGGTGTGACGGAGACCCTTCTCCATGCAATATGGGGGGAAGCGAAAATAGCCCTATTTAATTTCTAGGAAGCTTCAACACGATTTCGTGCAGCCAAGACGAAAGTGACCCGCGTGGGTCAAGGCAGTCCTTCTCTTTGTGTCCTTTAGTGATTTGGGAAGGAGCTTCTCGTCCCCTCCCGAACAGATCTCTTTTTATTTCCCCCACCTTTTTTGTTCTTAGGACAGTTTTGGTACAAGTCAAATAGACGTCTGGGCGCAAAGCA